GTCTCGCTTATCAACAGTCTTTTCCAGACAACGTCCACGTGCATCCGAACTCTTGTCCCCCCATGACGTGTGATGCGCATTGAAATCACAAAATGATGCGCGGAGCTGGGCAGCGATGACACAGGTCTTCCAAAAACTTTTCGATCGAAATTTTCTTGCGAAGAGACGCATACATCGATGCAATGCTGACTTTGTGGATTTCATATTTATGCCCTGATCGCACACACTTCTATAACATCTGTGCACAAGTCCGACACATTGAGTGCTACGTGTGGTATCTCTCTTCGTATATTCAAAGCAGCACTTCCATTTGGGAAAGTTGATATGGGGGGGGGGGTTGTGAGTGACGTATCCAGTGATTGATCTTTCTTTCGGTAATCCGGCCTCCAACAGCGCCAAGATCAGAATTTGATACTCTCTAAAACAGGTGTAGTTCATTCATGCGAGAAACAATACCGGCACAATTGCACTGCATTATGAAAGGCACTTTTCGGCGATTTAACGTGCACTGAGGCTTCGCCTTCGGAATCCTACTGCTGGTTGTGCCCAAAACAACCAAGCAGCACTGATTCTAGAGTCAGCATGGCCTGCAGCATGGTCTTCGCAGTACCTGTTGGCATTGTCGCTAGGTGTGAACGTAGAGCGGCAAACAGAACTCAAACAATCTTCGCAGTGTCGTGGATTTTTTCCTTATGTCCCTTTGTCTTCTGCTCAAATTCTTGTCTCAGTACTCTGGTATAGGTAGCTTGTGTAGAAATGTTGTGAGTAGACTCATTTGGCATGGCTCCTTGTTTTGCTTGACTCGCATTGCCTAATGTTTTCAGGAAGCATTCTTCTGATTGCACCTCACGTACATTCTTTGTACTAGTTGATATTGTTTCTTTCAACAATGGAGGAAAATCCTCAGGTGATTCAGCAACTGGCCGGGCAGTAGTTGGTTCAGTTGGTTTAGGCCCCGTAAGAAAGGCTTTTCGTCTATGCAGCTCACTCACTCGGAATGGGCACCCACTATAACTGGCGGGATGGTCACTATTGCAGTTTGCGCATTTAATGTCCGCCTTGAGTTTCGAAGTCATGTGGACCGCCGCAGCATTTACATCGGAGCTCTCCTTTGCAGAATTTCGCCACGTCACCAAAACGTTGAAATTTAAAGCACCTCGGCGGTGGCTCCGTGTATTCAGTGGTTTCATGTCGAGTGAGGCCAAGGTTAATAGTCACAGGTCGCTCGGTGTTTGGAGTAAACGCAAGTACAACCGCGCCCGTGGGTCTCAGTTCGTAGAAGAAACTTCTCTTCTAACAATCCTCCTGACGTGAATCACACCTTGGGGCTTCATGTATCCGAGAAGATCCGCCTCTGTGTACCACTTTGGGACACCTCTGATCAAGCAGGTGTTTCGCAGGTAGGCATTAGGTAGACGAGCACTAACTTGTACACCACACAGCTTGCCACATTTGAAAAGCGCGTTCACTTGATCTTCAGTGGCCACGTCAAGCAGTAGCGAACCTTGAGCAGTGAAATAACACCGAACTGGCTCAGCGTCAATGACTGACGTCACCGCAGAATGTAAAGCAATAGGGTTCACCTGCCTTAAGTCTTTTTTGCTTTCTACAGGTGATATAATCACCTGAATACCCACAGTTCTGCTTTTGCGGTGGCTTACCATCTTGAAGTTGTCGTCCTCCATGTCTGACCAATCGTCTACCTTCTTGTCGAGTCCCACTAATGTGGATGCGGCGTCGTCGGCTGTAGGTTCATTGGTGTCGCCACAGTTACGTCTGCCTGCTCGTTGATCTAGTCGTTTCGACGGCGTGTGGGATGGATCAGGCGTCTGTCCCGGTCGCTTGCATGGCTGGGCCATGGCCGAAGTTCAGAAATCAGACCCTTCTTTCAGTCGCGTCTTCTCGGAATGGGCCCGGTAAGGGTAAAATCTTCTTGATGCCACAGACAACTTTGCGAAAACGACGGAAAATAACACAAAACAAGGAAAAATAGAAGATCGAGGGTAGGGTTGGCTGCGCTCTCAACTTCGTCGTCTTCAAACTTCGGCGCCTTAAGGAACGTAGATTTCACGCTACGTTTGACTCACCAAGCATACAGAAGCTTAGAACAGTGTACGTATAGAGGGCGCAAAGCAGCATGGGATATGTCATCCTATCTGTAACATAGAAGTATATGCCAGATCTAATAAGAAATGATTATTCATATTAAAAACCTTACTCTTACAACAAGTGAAGTGAACCCTTTTGTATTCCAGGGTCGGTTCAGTTGTACAATAGGTATTATACTCGAAGAATTTCACCGCGAACTGCAGGCACTTTGAGCGTTACTATCCTCGAGCCTATCCATTTATCTAACCAAGTGGGTGAAACTTGACCCTTAGCGAGATAGCTGCCCACAGAACGTGCGATAATAAAGTGAAGGACAGCTTTATTACTGCTATATTACGCTCTCCTTTTACACAGCGGCGCCTTCGGTGAATCATAACAAGGAATACGCGTGGTTTCATTTTCTCCTTCTATATAGCCGCCATGTGCGGGTGCTTTCGTGATCACTTCCTTCGCAACCTGTGGACCGAATTGGTATAGGAGGTTAAGAATGTTTGACGAATATTACTCTCTGGTCATGACATGACGAACACAAAAATCCGGTCATCAGGCTCGTGATCAAGGGGGATGACCATAATTACGAGCTTAAAATTCAAGTTTCGGGGGATCCCCGAAACTTGGATTGAAGAGGGTGTTTACAGAGGACAAATTATAAAAATATGGGACTTCTTCAGGCCTTCAACAATTGCCCCCCTCATCTAAAAAATCGACTACGCTCCTCCCCGTTACGTACGTTGTCAAGTGCTCTTCGCCAGACATGTGTTTAGGTTGTAAAGAAAGTTTGGCAGTGACGCTGACCAGATGTGTGCAAATTATATAAATCAGGATCGGAGTAAGAATCTAGCCCAAGCATCCTGCGCGGCAGTCAGGTACTCTACCACAGAGCGACCCTAGGCCTTTAAACTGCTTTGAAAATCAAAACGCCCCATGCAAGCGTAGTGCCGATGCAACGTCAATAAAAGCTGGAGGGCTGCCCTTCAAGTTTTAAAGAAAGCAATGAAGAGTACATAGCTACTTCTATGACACCAGTATCTTGTCTGATTAACGACAATTGTGGTTCTAGTTTTGACTTCATTTATATACTACTCCAATAAACATTACATGTGTAGTCATATGATTCAGCAAGATATATCGAAGAGTTGCCCAACATCTGAAAAATACGCTAACAAATTTTACGTCTGCTCTTCATATATTCGCATCGTAAATTGCACTTCCTTTTAATTGTACTGTCGTATTCGTCTTCACGTTAGTGCTGACTTTACATCAGGTCATAGGTTACCCTTTAAACGCGAATTAGTCGACCTTCCTGGAAGGCCTACGATGTCCACGCTTCAAAAAAGACGTCTATTCAGCTTGTGACGCCCGGCTTAATAAAAAGCTGCCGAATATACAAGTACTTGCCGACTGCTTCGCATTAAACTGGTTCTTACAAGCTGTCATATCTGCCACTTTTATTGCCTTTATGGAACAATAATGCATACTTCAATGTCAATAAAATGCAGATCTTGAAATTTAGTTTTATTTCACTAAGTAAACAAGTGTCGATACATGTCTTTGAGGACAAAACCATTTAAGCTTGGTCCTCCATCCTTAACAATATTTGTGTTCTAACGTGAATGCCTAATTTATCAGTTTTTTTTACAATTTCTGACTACTTCATGAACAGTATGGCACACATGTCATTAACAATTAGTTTGTACACAGAACCCAGGCAATGACGTTTAGACTCCTGCCGTGAAATTGATCTGAAAATTTTGCTTTATTTCATACTTTGTCAGTATACTTACACTAGCAGCTCGTGTTCCAGATTCGGGTAGGTAGCTCAATTAGGGCGCATGCTTCAGCAATTGCCGCTTTTACTGGATGGTGATCCAACCCGAAGTGGTGTGCCTTCATGAGAAGCCCCAACAAAGGAGATCAGCTTTGTGCAGCCATCAGGTTTAGCCTGCTTGTCCTAACGTTGAAGGAGTCCACTGCACTCTAGTGACGTCTTTAAGGACTCTTAATAAAGCTTCCTAATCTATCCAACCATTGTTACTCGATGGTCTGCATGCCATGTAATTTTCCCTATTTTTCTGCATTATTATTGGTGTGTGACTTAAACGGCATCCTTTGCCCCAGCTGACGTACCGGATTTAAAATGCCTCAGTGTTGCTGAAGTTTTGTTCTAACAGCTGAATTCTGACGATTGCTTCTTAAGAGGTTCTATTGTTAACGACAAGGTAGTGAATCAACGTTATGGAAGACCCTCTATACTCAATTGAAAAGTTAAGCAAAGGAGCAGCAGACGTAATGATGGCAGTGCTTGAATATCGGTTCCCCCCTTCTAATAAGCCTATAAGCTTAAACAGGAAAGAACAAGTGAGGAGTACAGTTATTGGGCTAGCTTAACACGCACATAGCATCTTATTCATTTTTGTAAATGAACTGACCACGCCACTAAATTTCATGCCATATACATGTGCACCGTCAACCTGTAGCTTTTGTGAAACATTACACAAAAACGTATAACTGTTCAGCATGCTATGGTCGTGATTTACTGTAAAATACTTATAAATCATAACTCATTTTTAAATCAATGAGCAAACAATGCGAAAACATTGTACTCTTCTCGTTTATGTAAAGCTCATTTATATGTCGGTTTGGTGGAGTTCGTTTAACCAAGATTTTGCCGTAGTTTACAGTTTCTGTAGGCCCCTACCAGAATAGTAGTGCATTATGGTAATCCGCATGTTATCTTTTGATGCGTTAGCGAACGTTATCTTTTATATATGGCCTGAAATGTCTCATTTCTGAGTCAAAACAATGTCGTGCTGTGACAGACAACTTTGCTAAACATATACGCTTATTGCAGGTAGCTCTCAGTGTGAAGATAATGTAATATTTTTGTTCAGGGTACCTATCAGGAAGGGGTCCGGTATTTGCTCAGCTTTGACCTCGTTCCACTAACCTGTTCCTCTCACCAAGTAAGTTATCTCAAGTCATCTTATTTTTAGAGTATTTGTTACTGGCCCTGAAATATTTCCTATAAAACTCCTCACAGCGTCTTTGCATTCTTATGTAATGCAATGAAAGTTACTAGGAGACACACAGTTGGCTTTCCAGGACTTAGCTTTTGTTCAGTTGCGAATGTATTCATACGTTGATGTTCGTAAGAAAACATGAAATACCAATTCTTTGCATCAATGTGATTTTTAACCTTCTCTGAGCACACGTCACAGGTCCAATCTTCAAATGCAAAGACGTTATTACCGCCTCGTTTCTGCCGAATTTATCCTGTTGCTCCTAAACTTTCAAGCTGATCACTGATATGAATATTAAACATATTCTATTACAAATATCCACGTAAAGATTTATAATTTGCACCTGCTTTTCTACTCGGCGACTACATAAGCAACAAGACTTGGCCGCTTTTTTTTTTAAAACACAACCTCTTTCGCAAAAAATGTTTCTTTGTCACGTTTGTACTATTACAATGCGTGTATTGTAATATTGTGTAGGTTCCTCGCAATAAAAGTTTAGTCATCACTTTCGCTTAACAACTCCTTCTTTAAAGACACGCTTGTTTAAAAAAACCGCTTACGCTGTGTATAATGTGCAACTGGCAGAATAAAACATAATGACTTGGTTATACGGTGTTCGTGTATGACACAATATGCTAATATATCTAAATTTACCCTTTTAAAGACGATAGTCTTTCTTGGGGACCTTTGACGGAAAACGTTTGGTCTGTCTGTCTGTCTGTCTGTCTGTCTGTCTGTCTGTCTCTCTGTCTGTACATTTGTCTGTACATTTGTCTGTTTGTCCGCCCTAATGATACCTCTAACGGCACCTAACGGCCAACCCTATCCGCAACGCCCACCAATATTGCTCAAGGTTTAGCGTTCATAGTTGTGCGATTGTCAATTAAAAAGCAATTATTGCGCATATCTGAGGCGCTAATATAACGCTTCGATGTTTTGTATGTCTGCCTTTATACTAGCAGAGGCACACACAAGTAACCCTAAGAAGTGTAGCGTTTAATAGCGCTGCGCTGACAGTGCTACGCGCTGCTCAAAAAGGTGTTTCCAACGCTTAGCTACGAAGTCACGGTGATGGCACCTGCCCATCGCTTTGCGTTCTACACCTTATCAACTCCGAGACTGGCGCGCATCTTTCTCCGCGGGGACCACGTCTTCGTTTTTCGAAGATAACTGCCAGATGGCAGTTGTGTCTAGCGTGCCTCGATGCGCTCGTTCGCCCGGACTTACAAAGAAAGAACAACGACGAAGTCGAAAAGTACATGCCTCCGAGTCTGCAGCAAACAATGTTTCTTAGCCCTACAACTCCTATCGAAATCAGTGATTTGATACATGAACTTAAAAATATATGTGCTTGTGGTTTAGATGGTATCAAAGTGGCACCTATTAAGGCAGTCTCTGATCTAATTTGTTATGTGCTTTCTCATTTATGTAACTTAATCTTAGAAACTAGTACGTTTCCAGACCAAATGAAAATCGCCAAAGTAAGTGTCTTATACAAGAGAGGCGTGGTTAGCAATATTTCTAATTACAGGTTAATATCTATCCTTCCGCTTTTTTCAAAGATCGCTGAAAAAGTAATTAACGCCCGAATGACTATTCACGTAAAATTATCAACTGTTATCTCCTAAACAATATGAGTTTCAAAAGGTATTCAACAGGATGAGTTTTAGTTAACATTAAAGAAAAAATTCTTTTCAACAAAGAAAACCACCTCTATACAATTGGTATTTTTGTTGATTTTAAAAAGAGCTTTTGATTCAATCAAGCATCATATTCTTTTCAGAAAGCTCCCATTTTACGGAATACGTGGCACGGTGTATAAGCTACGGCAGAGTCATCTCTCAAATAGAGCACAGTTTGTTGTATATAATACCGTTTTATCAGAGGCTCGATATCTCGCTTTTGGTGTCCCACAAGGGTTTATATTAGGACAGATACTATTTCTTCTTTATAATAATGATATTGTCAACATTCCTGAGACTCCTGAAATCGTGTTATACGCTGACGACCCAAATGTGTTTTTCTCTTCAAAAGATCTAACAGTCATCGTACCTGATGCAAATCTCTACCTCCAAAATTTATCGCAGTGGTTAAGTGCAAATCAGCTACTTTTAAATACACAATAAGCAAAATCTGTCATCCTCTCAGCTTTAAATAAGGCGGTCCAACGTCTAAATGCCATATCGTTCGAATCAGAAGCGCTACAACAGGTTTCAGAATGTAAGTTTCTTGGTGTCTATTTTCACAAATCCCTTCGGTGGACGTATCATGTAAATTAAGTAAAACGTAGTGTAGCCCAAACAATTGGCACCCTATACAAACTTCGTATCTTGTTGCCCGAGAACATAAAACGACAACTTTACCATTGTACTGTTCACACAAGGCTGCAGTATTATATACTAGTGAGGGGCGCTACGTCAAAAACAAACGTTCATGTTCTTTATCTAATGCAAAAACGTGGTTTAAGATTCATTCACAACTTATCAAGTCGACAACATGTTTCTTCCTATTTTATATATAGCTACATATTGACTGTTAAGGACATATATAATTAACGCCTAGCCGAAACAGCCTTCCTGAACTTGAAATCGGACCCAGATATATTTTTATCATTATACTCTAATGCTGATCCGCTTTGTAGTATCAGAGACAATTCTTTAAAAAAAATCAAACTAGGACAGGATACGGCATACCACTGCTCGAATGGCAGATACCAACTCTTTAAATATGTGCCCTTCTTTACTTGATGTGATGCGCAGCTGCTCTTCTTTGCTAGCCTTCCGGAAAAATGTTCAACAGCTTCTACTCGAGCAATAAACTTTATGTTCTTTTGTGTCCTCTTTTGTAGCTCTATTATTGTGTGCGAGTGTGTTTTTGTGTTTTTTGTTAAAATGCTTTCGTGTTGAATCTCTGTAAACAACTATTTTTTGTGTGTAACAATAGTTATTTTATTATGCATACTTATACTTACAAAGTTTGACTACAGGTTCCAGAAATGAATACAAACAGTGTATGGTTTGCCTGATACTGTTGTATAGTTGAACATAAAATTGTATAAGGTTTTTGAATTACAGTTTCTAAGCTATTTTCGTTTTGTATTGAACTGCTGATTGTGTGATTGTGCTGCGTGGGGCTAGGGGCCTAGTCAGGCAATTTAAATGTTGCCTTTTGCCATAGCCGCAGGGCCATCTCTTGTGTTGCAAAAAAAATAAACAATTTCATTCAATTCAATACCCCTATACTTCTCGAAAAGCCGCTTGTCAAAACTGGCCTCGAAGTTGACGACGTGGGAGTGGTCAAAGCGATGCGGTGATCGTTGACCTCGCTGCCCTCGGCCAGTGCACTCATTTGTCGGCAAAACTTGCGGACGTCATTGCGGTGCTGTCCCAGCCTCTCTGAAAAAGTTTCTGTCTCTCCCACGTTGGACGAGATACAATCCACACAAAAAATACAGTAATACAATTCTTGAGCTTTTTATGGTGGGGGGAGGGGGTCCGCCTTCTTGGTACTATAAAAGAAAGCGGCCGAGCGTAGTTATTCACTTTTCTATATCCCGTTCTCAAAACACAGAAAAAGATGAACAAGGAGTGATATTGCGATGACGTTCTTTGGGAATTATAGAGGTACGAGCACGTTGCGTCGGTGACTGCAATACTCTCAAAAAAAAAATTGTAAGGCTATTCTCTCTTTCCCTCGCCCATTCAAAGCAACACAGGAACACAAAACACACAGCAAGCAGTAATTTGAACAAAACATCTTGCACCCTATGCACAGAGCTGTGTGTAGTCGCAAAAACAAGTATAGTCCAAACAAAACCAAAAGGGTCACCGGTGACTGCTAATATACTGAAGTGTCGCAGACGTCTACGGCGAGCTGATACGTGCATGGAGATGCCCTCATCAGAAGAATCAGTCGAAGAGCAGCGTGACCGTCAGATGAAGGCATGATGGAGCAGGAAGGTGCCGAAGACATGGCTGATGATGGTAGGCTCGGACGCACGGACTCACGGACCAGGGGCCAAAGCCAAGCACTCGGGCTAACGCCCGACTGTGAACAGGATGGCTGCGACAGCTTCCCGATGACTCCGTGGACCATCGTAGCTTGAGGCCAAGCGAAGCAGGCCACAGGTCACTTCGACTCTTGACCTCTGCCAGGGACTCGGGGCCAACGACGACTGTGACGTTAGCGAACTGCCTCAACCCTACTTCTTCCCGAACAGATTCCCCCTCCCAGTTGACAATTGCGTTGCACTCCTCGGGTGGACTCGTCGGCTTCTCATTGGGACTTTCTAAATTGCCGTGTTTTCATGTCATTGGCTCCTGAAATCTTTGTGGTAGCTGTTGATTGAGGTACTTTCCTTTTATGTTGATGACGTAGTAATAGCGCCCTCTCTGATGTTCCTCGTGTCCGCCTGTGAGTAGATTTCATGCGATAGCGTTGCTGAGCACGTCTCGCAGAAATTCCGCCATTGGTGTCGGCACCGTTGGTTGTGAGCGAAAAATCTTCTGTGAGCAAAAAAAAACTGAGAAAGAAGCAAATAAAATACAGAAAAATTTAGGTTTCACTGAGGATCGAAGCTGGACCGTTCGCGTGGCAAGCAGCTGTCGTACCAAAAAGCCACGACATTACTTGCAGCTGCTTCGAGAAAAAACGCTACATAAATGTCTTGTAGTGAAAGGACTCTCCTTAGCGCATTTTATTCGACACGTGTTACGACGAAAACGAGCTCATTTGGTGATTTGTAGGCGCAGTCAGGAGGCCATCAAACTACGTCAAAAAGGCCTGGATAGTGCAGCCATCACCGCTAAAAACACACAAAAACTTTTAAACAGGTCTCGAAATGGACAACTATGCCCATCAAGCGGAAACATATGCCTTTCTAGAGGCGTTGATCAATCAAACAGCAAACGCTAGATAATGTGCTGACATGTGTGAGGCATTGTGTGCTGGCCTCTGAGATGGTAAGCGCGTGGTGCGTATCTTGGAGGCCATGTGACACTCGCTTCAGATAAAAAACCTGTAGTACCATTCACGCGCACGCGCTGGTACAATCTCTCTCTGTCTCTCTGTGTGTGTGTGTGTGCGTGCGTGTGCGTGTGCGTGCGTGTGCGTGTGTGCGTGTGGGTGTGTGTGCGTGTGTGTGTGTGTGTGTGTGTGTGTGTGTGTGTGTGTGTGTGTGTGTGTGTGTGTGTGTGTGTGTGTGTGTGTGTGTGTGTGTGTGTGTGTGTGTGTGTGTGTGTGTGTGTGTGTGTGTGTGTGTGTGTGTGTGTGACGAAACCTAATAATAAGTATGCACTTAGCAGTTAAAGGGCGCACTAGGGGCAGGATTTCGCTATCGCGTTCCACACTTGAAAGCCAAGCTCAAGGGTCCCCCAATTTTTTTCTCCCTCTTGACCAGTCGCACGCATTGCCGCTATTTCGTACCAGCATAGCTCACATCGTCGTCTGCTATTACACCTCACGCCGAAGCACGGCCGCTCTCTCGGGCGCACGTCACATCACAGGTATACTGCATCTCTCGTACGAAATGTGGTGCGTTGTACGTAGAAAAGGGAAAAAATTGTTCTGAGAGGCTGCGATAGCACCCACCGCGAATGACGTCCACAAGTTCGACTGACAAAGAAGTGCCCTGGCTGGGAACATTGAGCTCAATTATTATTGTCCTGCCATTGAGAAGTCCAACATGGTCGAGTTCGAGTGCAGTTTCCAAAAGCGCCTTTTTGTGGAGTCGGGGCACATTCAGGCAAAACCTGGAAACTTGAACTGGTCGGCAGTGTCCTCCTAAGTGGGTACTAGAAAGGACTACGGCACGTCGGTAAAAACAAGCATAACCACCCCACTTGAGAAGAAGGTGTTACGAACTCTGCTACCCCCTCGTGCTAAACAATCACCCCTGACGGAGTGTCCGAGTAGGACACGGATAGTCGTGATTTTCATTTCTGAAAAATATAAGGTATTTTTTAATTGAACACGTTGCTCGATGCTCCTTTTTTAAAATTCCATTCAGCTGTTGCACATCTGAGAAAATTTTGGTTCTTTGATGCATTGCGTGTGTTTTATTGCATACTTTTTTTAAAGGGTGCCATGACGTTTTTTTTGGCTGCCTTCTGTAGCACAGGAGAGTGCGTAGCACCAAACTGTGAGATGAACGCAGCATGAGTGAGAATGTCTGCTGCACGACAGCAGAAGTTATCAATCTTAAAACTTCACAATCAGACACTACGACATAGAAAAATTTGCCTTTCGCATATCACTCTGCTGTTCACGTTATTGTCTACTGCAAATCATTGTGTACCTTTTGTGCACATACCTAAAAAGTCCCACAGAGTCACTGCACAAGGTTGCTAGCCTCATGTTGTGGTTGCTTTCAGAATAAATTACGAAAATGAAGATTAAGTATGATATTGTTTTGAACGCTACGTGGTATGTTCAAGCCAATCAAAACATCTAGTCATTGGCATCACTTCCACATGATTAAGCGTCCGGCAGCAAGTGTTTTTCGTGCCCTCTAAAACTGAACCTCTGTTGAAGTGGTTTCGCATTCACCTGTTATACTGCCAAATACAACTAAACCAGTATTAGCCATGAATACCATAGGCTTAATTTGTCTCCCAATGCGAATTCAATATTCTACGAAGTAGGTAGTTCTCCACATAGCTTCACAACGCGCTGTACTAATAAAATGTCCATTTTCGTTAAACAGATAGTGGCAAAGAGTTCGCCGCAGCGCATTTATCTAGTAGAGTTCAGAACTTTGTTATTTCGTGTGTACGTACAGACACCATTTATTATAATAAATAATTTTGAATGCCACATGTCATGTGTAACTGCAATAATAATTCATTAATTCAAGTACGAAAGGAACTATAAGGCACTTCAAATTAAGCGGAGTCTGAATGATTCGGGCACGCTAAAATGAAATGACATCACACTTCATTGCATCAGCAGAACTTAGAAGAAGGCACCTCTTAACTCATTATAACCAACAAGACGCTACGACACCTTTGTTGCAGCCAATTTCGTATACTGGGTTCATGGAGCTCTAACCAATATATCTGAACTCATCAACCACAACTCTAAAAACAAGAACTTAGATGCATTCATGTGAGCAGTATGAAAATATTACACTGTGTGTGCTCCGAATTACGCGTATTTAGAATGCAGATATAAGGCTATCAAACTTATTAGTGATAGGTAATTTCTACTTGCTTGTGTATATTAACACGCGACTTCATGATCCTCGTTTAGAGCTTGCCAACGAAATCTGGTGGTCCCCGGGATCATCATAAGCAGCAAGCACTAGGGTTCTCTCGCGCATATTTGGTGGATATATATTTTAAATAAAGTGTTTTCTCTCTCTCTCTCTCTCCAGCGCCGCTTCCGCATTGTCATGCTCTCAGAAATGCCGCTGTTTTATTGTTTTGCATCAGTACTAAATTTAAATGGGCTGGTTATTGTAACGCATTGTGATGCCTGAGGGCTGCCATTTGCAAGGATTTATAAAAACCAGAGGCCCCCAGTTCAAGGTTACCGTTGTGATACCGACGAGCTTGACTTATCGACAGTTTTACCTCCTAAGGATACATATAGGGCTCTACCGGGACTAGGGTGTTAGTTCAAATTAACTGAATTCGAACTAACGAGCTTTCCCCGTACTTCATTTTCTAGGTGCCAAGTCACAACAACAGTGCCAAAGCACAAGGCACAACGAGCTACACATCGGTATTTTGTATCATGGGAGAGGTGAGGCTTAATTTATTCAGCGCATGAGTCTGCCGTCACATAGACAAGCATAACAGATCTTTGATACTACATCTTACTACTCACACTTTGTCACCGCGGGGTATTTTAATTTTGATTTTGGTTTGCTTCACTGAATGCATTTTTATTGATGTCCACGAAAGCCATGTTTATTTTATCACGCCAGAAATGCAAAATCTGCAGTGATGCAAACTATGATTTGTTATTATGCGTACATGACGGCTCCTGTGGCTTGGCATGAAATGGCTTTGTGTTACTTCTATAACGCCTATTCACATTTGCGGCATTGAACAAATGTATTGTCAGTACACACTATGCTGTCACCAGAAAAACAGGAACAAGCCTAACAGGCGAGCTCCTTGTAAAAACGATGTCTACTTCTGTGCGTAAAGCTTTTTATATTGCTCCACAGATTCCATATCAGTGCAAATTTGACAATGGCACATTTGCCTGAATACATGAAAACTAAAAAAATTGTTAATTATTGCTCTGCTCCTTTCATATAGTATCTTTAGAACAGAGCTGTTAGGTGCGATGTTTGCCGTGTGTCGTAGATAGATAATTATCATCAAGATGATCCGGGAGGCACTCCATCACAAACCAAGCAATCTTTACAGATTACATTCAGCAGAAAAACTATTGCTTCTCTTGTTACCTATTCTTTAACGAATGCTTGGAATCTGCTTTCTCTCAGTTGGAAAAAGTCATTTTCGCACATTCGTTTAACAGCGCTAATTGAACTGAAACTATTTGTATTCCCCATCTAGGAGTACTAGAATACACTCACGTGCTCCTAAATTTCTTACAGTCCAATAATATTGTGTGACATATCGGTAAACAGTATATCGTTTCCCATTAAGCGAGCAAGTATCGCTTTAAATAACCCTGTGCACTAGATCACCATGTTGGAAATATAATTTACGCATTAGGTACTCTTCATTGATATTACACAAGTTTGCTTCAATGGCTCTCATCCCGCTAAATTTATCGATATCTTGTGTTTTTTCAGTTTCTGATTTTTAAAATGAACCTTTAGCCAGCTCTGTGTTAAATTTTTTAATATAAAAAGTGTGGTCAATATTTACTAAATCGCTGCAGTTGACGAGTATCTCTCTAAACAAATATGCACATTCAATGCCTCAGAATTTTTTTGGCCTTTTAAATACACTTTTAAATGTGGTCGCTCCAGAAATAATAGGTTTCTGCTTTTATACAATACTGCTTTTGCTGACTGCCTTAACAAGAAACAGAAAATAAGCAATAATGACATTTTGCATTGTGATACTCATGCATTAAAAATAAAAATAGTTTATCATAGGTCTGGCTTGTCATGACGCCGAAGTTCTCAGCTACTCGCACGCGGGAGTACGTGCTTTCGCAAAAGGCAAGCCGCATTACTCGAGTCAACAAAGATCCCGACAGCTGCTCTCGCCTGCTGTGAAACCTGAACATATGGATCGGAAACTATTGTTAAGCGAGTTTGCTCACTCCTCTGATGCAGCCGCAGCTGGTTCAAGAAAAACTACGTGGGGCCACAGTGCATAGCGGTCCAGCTTTGACAAAACACTAGGCTATGTACTTGCGTTGGTAGACTTGCAGGAATTAGAAACAAAAGAAATATAAATGTTGCCGCCAACATTACCTAAAGTTTTCATGCCAGTTTAATTTGAAGTTTAACATCACATTTTCTGTCTTTTTCTATTGCAGGCGATGAACTCCTGTTCAGCACTCGTTTTCGAAGAACCAGCAGGCAACGCTATTCACATTTTAGGAATAGACTGTCTTCACTGAATCCACTGTATAATTTTACCAGTAGACAAGAGGCATAACAAATAAATATTCCGACTGCACTAAAAATAATGAAACTTAGTATTGCGTTCCACTGTAGGATGAGTAGGTCATAACACGTTCCTTTTTATACTTTTGTGGTATCAAGGTCCCTTCTACGCAAAAAAGCACGTCACAGCTCAACGTATGTTGGGTGAAATGGAAGCGTTGTATCAGTGATGGTTAATTGTACTTTAAAAAAATTATGTTGACTCACCACACTGAAAATAAGAAATTACTAAAACATTTTGGAGAGCAAGAAGGCTTGTAACACTGGAGCCTTCCAAATGTCTTCAAACTTCACCTGAATGATGTTCATCAGAAAACTTCTTCAAAAATGTGGTTTCAGATTTAGTGCCAAGTTTGGATCGTATATTAAGCAAAGAAGCTGGTAGGGGTTGCTCGATGTTGAATAGTATCACTTAAATATTTTCTTCCACAGGCACCTCCAGAAATCTTCACCTTATCAGCTATTTTTCATTTGTCTCTTTAAATATTGCACTATATATGAACATTTGAATAATAATAGTTATTTTACGAAAGCTATACTTCGTATGAGGAAATATTATCGTTGAACTGATATTTGGCAATGTCACGTCATTTACTCATGTAACTAAAAATAAAGAACATCTTCGTTTTCATCCACACTGATTGTACAATTACACGGTGTTGTGTTATATAGAAAGGTTTATTCTTACAGCATGTTTTTGTTTTAAGCCTAAGAACAATGCTTGATCTACACTCATGACTATACTACCAGATCACTCCGATTCTCCAATACAAAGTTCTCTCGCAAACATCACCGAGACGACGCTGTGCGAAATCAAACAGACATCTACATGGCAAGAGCTTTTTTTTTCTGCCCGCATTATTACAGCATTTCAACGTTGTAGAACGTCATATATTGGTATATTTCATATACAATGTCTATTTAATATATTTGAGATCGCTGTCACAAAACCGAAGCCGTTCGGCGGGGAAATTACGCGTCCACCGATCTTGATGACCGCCATGTAGCTTCATTGGTTCCGACCGGTAATTCTTGTTCAATCATTTCATTACTGAAAAAAAAACATCCACTTTCCCCTCAGGTTATTAGCAGCGAAGTACTAAAAAGCGCACGTGCTCTTTCTTAGAACAATGCAAGAAAATACTTGGTTTCACGTTTGTGAAACTTGACAAACTTGAATATGGCTTCCGTTCGAAAAAATGCAAAACGGAAATTAGGAAAACCACTAAAGTGCGTGTTAACGTGCCCAATTGGTTTTTGTTTCGAGTGAGCGTGTTCAACAGGGCTACACCTCCAGGAAAGGTGACACGCTCTTCATACTGAACTAGCGTTCATAGATAACGCTAACGCTAAGAAAACTTAAACGACGTGTTTTCGAGATTACCGAGCGCGGCCTCGTTAAAACTAACTGCAGTAACTACAATCTTCGACGTGCAGATAATAGCTTCGTAGAGAGTAGCTTCACCTAAGAAATCGTAGATTAAGATATATTCCTTATGCGGACATTGCTGCCACGCTGGTGACACATGGGATGTATTGAGAGCCACGACTACTCTGCAAGCATTCGTCGCCAACTGCAGGTCCCATGTAATGCGTCAAGTGAAAAGCTTAATGTGACATCTAAATATAGTTGCAGCAGTGTCGCGACATTTGAAGATTCTTTATGAACATAGCGAACGGCTAGATGTCGAGCATAGCAGACAGTGAAGCCTTCGCCACAACTTGCGCTGTAAGTGGATCTTGCGTAAAAACGAAATCGCATGTCCCATATACTCTCTTAAAATGACGCCTTACAGAGTTCTCATGGAGTCAATGAAGACACTTGCTATCGTGTTCTTGTGCATTTTGGACTGATTTGATTGATATGTGGGGTTTAACGTCCCAAAACCACCATATGATTATGAGGGACGCCATAGTGGAGGGTTCTGCAAATTTCGACCACCTGGGCTTTTTTAACCTGCACCCAAATCTGAGCACATGGGCCTACAACGTTTCGGCCTCCATCGGAAATGCCGCCGCCGCAGCCGGAATTCGATCCCGTGACCTGCGGGTCAGCACCCGAGTACGTTATTCGCTAGACCACTTGTGCATTTTTCAGGGTATGGCCATAATCAGTTTACACCAAGATCTTCGCTGAGATCTAGTGAGTTCTAGGGAGTTATTTGACTTCTCAAGACTCTAAAGACCCACAAGGGTATTATTATTATTAATATTATTATTATTGTTATTATTACTATTATAATTATTATTATTATTATTATTATTATTTTACAAGACTGCAACAGTGTTGGTGCAAAAGCCCGCTTTACTATTTTGACACCTGTCGAATGGTTTACTCTTTGTGTGTTTTGAAAAATTTTAGGCGGGTAATAGTGCGACAACAAGCACATTTTCCCTGGTGTGACATTATCGTGCAGGGGGTGGGGGTGGGGTATTTATCTTGGATTCGAAATGGATATGCCTCATAAGCTAACCATCTTATGAAGGCAACAAATTAGGCTTCGAAATCAGTTGAGTTTGATTCCTTTTTACAGCTGACTTTACCCTAAAAGAGGCAGTTGGATTTTTTACTCTGCCGTTAGGAATCTAGCCAACCGCCTTGGTTCTTCGCTTTAGCATCACAACGATAAAGCCAATCAATACTCGGGGCCTTCTCAAAATACCTATGTAGTCGTCATTCCAAGTGAGCGGTTTCGTGCCCCAATGTTGATGATCCTAAGCATGGTTTATCATGGCCAGCTAGGAGTTCAGCGAGTTTAAGAGAAATGTGTGCACATATCACCTATGTATTTATACTTATATTTCGGTGTCTTAATTCCTCACATCCCTCATAAATATTATAAGCAGTGGCTCACAAGCACTTAGAAAGAAAACTGAAATAGCTGACAGATGTGTATCATTGCCTTCAGCCTAAATTGAAGCCCACGAGATGGACTAGCGATGCCTGAGTCACGTGGCTCTTGTCCAGGTGTTTAACAATTGGCGTCACTCGAGTAAGTATGCTGAAAACGGAGTGGCCTATAGCAATTACACATGTGGAAGCTATAGAAATAAAAGCAGTACTGTACATATATTATGTAGCAGATTACTGGTACTTCTTGGTTGTAGCCTCTATTTCCACCATTCCCACTGTTAGAGTCGTGCTTGTCAGTCCAAGCACTGTCCGGCAGCGTTTATCCAATAGCCACCCGTTCACACCACCCACCCACATTTCGCCCTAAGCACGTGCTATCTGGCTGAAAGGCTACTCCCACAAAGCATCTCACATTACCAAGTCAAATGCGCTGCGTTGGTTGCCCCAGCAGCGGTAAATTTTTCCGTCTGGTGCTGCGTTTAGCAGCATTCAGGGCACTAAATCTCCGTATGTTTGAGGTCTTCCATACAATATAAGACGATTGGTTAACTAATGATGCGGCTGGTGAACAGGCCGCGCCATTGTAAGACAAATGCTTCAAACCGTGTGCACGTTCATTTTCTCATTACAACACTTGAGTCATCGAGGTAGCTGCATCTTCTTTATGCAATACGGTCACAGCAGTCCATGGGCATGATCAGCCGACACTCCAGGCACATGAAGGTGCGTCGAAACTTTTCCGCCTAGCACCCCTAGTTGCTCTACGCAGCAGGACTATTTGTGCAAAGGACGATTGTGGCAGGTGATGCGAGTGTTCAGTGCATGCTTCTGCCAATCAGTCAGCCGGAGTTAGGCTTATTTTTCGAATAAACCTTATCTACCATAGTGCACGCCTTAAGACAAAGTCGTTCCAATGACAAGCACAAAGGCACCCTCTTGCTTGCACAGTCACCTTTTTATGAGGATAAAATAAAAAAAACGTTTGCGTGCGTTGACTTCGTTGCACATTTCAAATTATGAGTGGTGTAAATGAGTGCAGAACTTGATATAGCCTGGCCATAATAGCATTTTTTCGTCTGATAAGCTCCTCAATTCATTTCAACTCAGCTATCGAACAGGGTGAAAATTCCGTGTTTCCATGCTTCGGTGACTACACATAGAAGAATAGGTTAGTCTGTTTCAACAGACGAAGATATAAAATACACCGGTGATTCTGTTATCAGTAACCAGCCGCTGCTATGTTTTTCACGTGCAGATATCGGTGCCTTTGTCAATCTATATTGAGCCAGTGTTGCTATGCCTCCGCAAACCTAGCTGCATGGAACATGAACAGGAGGTTTTGCAACTTATCAGCCAAAGAAGGAAAATTACGCTGACCCGATATTTTTTGCACTTCTTTGTTGTTCTCATTAGAGTCCAAATAAGAATGCCTGGAGTTTTGCGTTCAAAACTTTCATGTGAATATGAAACACGTGAAGAGTTTAGGAACCTTTAACTGTCTGGTGTTTTCTAACGTGCAATGACATCACGCAGTACACGGGCCTCTACGATTTCTCCTGCATTGAAATGAAACCACCGCGGCTAGGATCGAACATATGACCTTCTCATGGGAGCCTTGCTTCGCAGCAATGGCACCGTGTTAGTTTGTGAAATAGATATTTTAATATGCTTGATTGTTTCTTAACCGATGTTATCAGTACCACGCGTAAACAGCGGTACACTTCTCTCACACGTTAGTTCATTATCATAGCGCTTGTGTCGGGCATTCTCTTATTTGCCTGACTATAGGTAAGTACCTGCTCGTGGAACTTGCTAAATGGTATGGCCATTGATCATCTGCCTATCGAGCTGATCTCCGGTGTCGGTATGGTAAGGTGCTCTTGCTTAAGAGCCACCGCGATGCATCATGGATTCCATCGCTTTTGTGCTGACCAAGAATACACGGTCGCAACGGTCGCATTTCTATTAATGCGAAACGCTAGAGGGCTGTGTGCTGTTCGATGTCAGTTCGAATTAAATAACCACCGGCAGGCCAAATTATTTGAAGCATTTCACTACAGACTGTCTGATTGGCTAAGTCACAATAGTTACTGGTACGCTAAACATCATTGCATATAACGAACAAACTATCAGTTCTTTCTGCAGCTCTAGGATTAATTGACGTTAATAAAGAACTCAGCGTCTATACACCTGTTTGTTGCGAGAAGGTGACCGTGTAGGAGCGCTACAGTCCGCTAAGAAAAGATGCTATCTTACTATAGCACCTTGTTAGAAAGCGCAATGACAATGGTATGGTATGGTATGATATGGTATGGTATATTATGGTATGGTATAAAGAACTATATTAAGGTTCTAAGGATGAGTCTTTGCTGGCTCCTCCCACGTCGGGACAGAAAGACAAAGTCCATGTACCCTCTGGACAGCCCTGAGTTTGTGCGCCAGTGAGTCACTATATAGTATTCACTGCCACCAGGTTTTACCTTGAGAAGCCGCACCGGCCAATGCCGAGCAGCGCCAGATAATGTTTTTCAAATCAAGCAAGCCCCTACACTTACTGAATTAGACTGAAACCCCACTGTCCAGAATAATTTTACTCATGATGACCGTGTTGGAGTACGTCGGCGCTTGCAGAAGTCCTAATGTGGCCTGTTAAGTCTGGAATGGAACAAGGGGAATTCTCTGCGCTCCAAGTAATACCGTTTGGTTATATCGTTATGCGTCAAAAGCTGGTCCCAAAACTCTGGAGCCAGAGATTCGGCCGTCTCAGAGAATGCACGGCCAACAAATCATCCTGTCTCCCTGTGGCCATCTCTTTGAGGTTATGAGGGGCTCCTTCCACTGACCCCATGTGCGCCGGAAATCAAGCGATGGTATACGGAAAGATTTTCGTACCCTGCAGCAGTCTGTAAGGTGGTTTACTAACAGCTTTTTTCGAGAAGGTTTTATTTCAGAGTGAGAGTCACTAAAAACTAAAACTCTGCCCGAATAAGTGAGTGCTAGTGCAATAGCCACCTGCTCAGTGGCCTCCAGATCTTTAGTATAAACGCAAGCGGCATTTCAAATGCGCCCTTTGCCATCTACCACCACCACCAAGTAAGCACCTTTTTCATTAATCCATCCTGCGTCAGCAAAAGCAGACAATTCCTCCTGATCTTTTGCCTTGCACAACAAAGCCCTAGCTCTCCGCATTCGCCTCCCAAGCACAGGGTGCACATTTTGTGCAAACGAACGAACCATGACATTAGCCCTGATGTTCAGGGTTAACTCGTATAGGCGAACACCATCACGAGTTCCCAACGATTCTCCGATTGACTGTAAGATATACCTACCAGCTGGCGTACCCAGCAACCACTCTCTCTGTGTCGTACGCTGAGCCTCGGCAATTTCATCAAGAGTTTTAAGCAGAACCAGCTGCAACAACATATCATTTCACGTACTCACGGACAAACTTTCCATTTGTCTTTCTCCTTTCTTTTCCAAAGTAGCATAGCAACTACGTACGAAAAATGGCACAGAATATATTGAAGTTCGAAGTTTGAAGTTTTATTCACATGAAATCAGTACATTTTGTTTGCAAACACTGTATGACCCCTTAGACGACGTCTAGTAATGGGGTCATTTACAGACATATATTTAAAGAAATACATACCAAAATGAGAAATAGCAAATACAATGCATGCACGCACACATATATATATAGTTACACATCTTTTTAGACATACATACATATATACTCACATATATTAACAGACAAAAACTTATGGTATAGAACAATACAACAGCATGTCGTGTATAACTTAGATGTGAAAACCTTATCAAATTTGAGAGAGAAGGGAAAAAACAATAGAATCGATATAGGTGTATCTACAGGTTGC